ATATAATTAAAAGCAATTTTACATAGGAGAACTTACAGCAAGATGGGACAGAACTAGAGAGTGGAAGGAAAGGGGAGATCAGGAACTGACAAAGGGGAAGGCCTGCCGAAACATCAATGTTTTTAGTTGTTTTTTGAAAATGCCCAGCGAGGGAGCCGTGCGAATATTAGGAGGGAGGTTATTCCAGAGGCAAGGAGCCACCGCCGAAAAGGCCCGATTTCTTGGCTTTTCCTTCCGGGCCTCCCTCGGCGTTAGGCTCCTCAGGCTCTCCTCCTGGCTCACGCGGGTGACACGGGTAGATCTTGGTGGGAGTAGGCGTTCCGCCAAGTATCGAGGCCCTAAGCCGTTTAGGGCTTTATATGTAAGCATCAACACTTTGAAGTTGATGCGGAAACAGATGGGCAGCCAGTGCAATGCGGCCAGAGTGGGTGAAATGCTGTTGATTCATTGGGCTGTAAAATGCCCCCCAGACACCTACAGACACCAAAATTGCAGGGAAGCTTCCTCTGACTCTCCTTTACAATCCCTCCAACTTCAGTGAGGACTGGATTTGGGGTGTCCAATTTATACACTCACAAAGAGTTTCCCCGGGAAAGTTTCCCCCATACACCTAGAAACACCAAAATCACAGAAAAGCTTCCCACAAATTTTCTCTACAATATCTCCCAGGTTGGTGAAAATTGGGTTTCCACAAGCAGTTGCTAAAGGGCACTTTCCTGGGGACCTATTTGTGAGCATAACTTGGATGTCTGAAACCCAATCTTCACCAAACTTGTAGGGATTGTAGAGGAGAGCCAGGGGAAGCTTCTTTTGGTGTCTCTACATACCTTGGGGACTTTCCAGGGGGGGCTTTTTCTGGGTCTATAACTCAGACATCCAAAATCCAAATGTCACCAAGCATGCAGGGCTTGTAGAGGACAGTTACGGGAAGCATCTTTGTGAATCTCATGTCTCTAGATGCTGGGGTGGATGTGTTTTATAGGGTTTTTTAAAAAACTGAATCAATTTAATTTGTCAGAAAAAGTAAATCCATAATTTATGATTCATCAACCTTGACGAATCACCATTTTTCTGATCCGTGCCCATCTCTACAGTAGTGGTGATGTATGATCGTTCTGTACCAGAAGAACAAGAACAGCTATCTTAAGCTCCACAAAACATAATGGAGATATCACTGCTAATGGAAGGAATTCTGCTCCCCAGAGCAAGGCAAGTGTACCTGTAGTGGTGACTTCCTACTGAAAGAGATGATGGCAGCAATCCACTACATTTACACTCTTTTTGAAGACCAGGTATCTCCCTAGTGCATATTTCCAGAATGAGAAAGTGTGTGTCATGATACTTCAGCCCTTTGACCATTATTCTTTCTTGCTATGAGGCTTTGCATAAAAAGGTGAGGAGACAAAGGTTTTCTTGTCATCACTTCTTCCTGCTGAACGCTGTGATATGGGAATAGAGATAGGAATGTTAGGATGACTACCTATACAGATTATGTTATATAAAGTAGTATGAACTGCTGGACTGATCACATTCTGAAAGGAACTGGCTGCACTGCATGAAATTTAGCAAGAACATATTTAGCAGATATCTTGTTAAACTGATTAGGAAGACTTTATGGTTATATGTGTAAAATCGTAGATGACGCCAGAACGTTATAAACTGGCGACAGCCACATGAGTGAAACTGGGACAATGCTGTACACATGTGCTAACTTACAAAAAATAAGTTAATGCCTGCTCAGGTTATATACACTGAGGTTTCCAGTAGTTCTACATCAATGCACATGACATGGAAAATAAGAACAGCATGAACTTGAACAGAAAACCAGATCTAATTCAATAGGCAATTACTAAAACACAGTGGGATGAGACTACCAATTGGAATGTAAGGTCTGTAGGGGCTGAAAAGAGCAGATGAAATGGAAAAAAGGGGCATGAGATTATATGTAAAAGACAGACATAAATGTGAGAAAATCTGAACATAGAAGTTATTTGAAAGTATTTAAGCAAAAATTAAAAGGGAACAAAGTTTTTGAAAGTTACCTTTTGGGCTACAACTCCCATAATCCTGGCCATGCTGACTGGGGACTTATTGGAGTTATTGTCCAAAAAATAACTTTTTCGATTTCTGTAAGGAAATAACAGTGATATCATTGTGGAAATCTGCTACAGGCCACCAAGCTGTGGGTTATGCCTTCTCAATACCAAGAAACTTGGATTATGCCTTCCTAGATCAAATTATCTAAATTTAAAGAGTACAAACATACGGGAACTATATGCCACAAATTCATTTCAACAGAATTAAATGTGACATTCTGCTTTTAGGTAAGAATGATTCATACAAACATAGAGCAGGTGACAGCTGGCTTGATAATAGCACACATGAAAAAATCTAGAAGTTTTAACACACTACAAACAAAACGTAAGAGCAATGTCATACCTAAAAAAAGGTATGTAATTCTAGGCAGTGACAATAAAACACACCTTCTGATTTGAGAAGACCCTGCCTAGAGTATAGTGTTCAATTCTGACCACGCAAGAGTTTGAAGATACTACATTCTAGAATACATCCAGAACAGAATAATATAAACCATCTTCAACTGTTAATAAAGTATGTACTCTACTTGTGTTGCAGGAAGAATGCTATTCTTGCTTACTCTTCAGTCACTTTCTTCAGACAAAAGCAATGTGGATATTTTGGCACGACTCCAGCATACCCTCTATTTTTCAGTTCCACTGAATGGGTCTCTGCCTCTCTCTCACTTGCCTTCATCCCCATGTGTACATGTGACTCCACTCCCATGCAGGATTCTGTTGCGACCAGAACCAAAGCGGCTGAAAAAAATTTGCTGTATGGAGGGGGAAGAAAGCTTTATGGAGGGAGGTGGAGTCTAGTGCAGCTTAAAGGGAACTTTATACGACTGTCAAATCTATGTAAGCTAGAAACCTACTTTTTCTGCATTCAGCTCACACGTAGATATTTCAAAGTTACTGCAGAGACTCCTCTAAAGAGAGTGTTATTCTGTGAGGAAGGTGACAACAGAGAGGGCCAGGACCAGTTCAT